TATCGGCAAAAATAGATTGCATGCATCTTTGAAATGTGGCTGGGGCGTTACATAACCCGAATGGCATTCTTCTGTAAGCAAAAACACCAAAAGGGCATGTAAACGCGGTCTTCTCTTGGTCTTCAGGTGCGACAGCTATCTGATTGTACCCCGAGTAGCCATCGAGAAAACAATAGTACTCATGACCCGCTAACCTTTCTAACATCTGGTCGATAAAAGGCAACGGGAAGTGATCTTTTCTTGTCGCCAGATTCAGTCTGCGGTAATCAATACAGACTCTCCACCCTGTAACTGTCCTCGTGGGAATCAACTCATTCTTTTCATTCTTAATCACTGTAGTGCCACCTTTCTTTGGAACCACATGAACTGGACTCACCCATGAACTGTCGGATATTGGATAAATCATCCCTGCGTCCAAAAGTTTCACCACCTCCTTTTTAACTACTTCCTTCATCGCTGGATTGAGTCGTCGTTGAGGTTGGACAACTGGTTTGTGATCATCTTCCATTAGGATTTTGTGCATGCAAATTGTTGGACTTATTCCTTTCAAGTCTTCTATGGACCATCCGAGAGCACTCTTATGCTTTTTAAGAACTTTGACAAGCTTATCTTCTTGAAGGAATTCAAGGTGAGAACTTATGATGGCCGGGCACTTACTCTCAGTGTCTAAAAAAACATATTTAAGGTTTTCCGGTAATTGTTTTAGTTCAGCCCCCTTCTTTGGTTCATCTTTACTTCCTTCCACTAACGGTTTCCTTAGCTCTTCCCATCGGTTGTGGCGAGAATTTTTGACAAATGATGTTGTTTCCATCATGGCTAAAACTTCACTATCTTTTTCATCAACTATCTCCTCTTCTCTAAAGATTGATAAACTCAAAACTCTCTCCAACGGTAACTTTTGTGTTGTCAAAGAATTTCCTTCATCACAAATTTGATCAATTACCTCAATGTGTTGACTTGTGGCAATGTCATCTTTGTACTTCATGGTGTTTCGCACATCAATCTTTAATTCCTCATCATAAACTTTCAAGGTCATAGTACCTTCCTCTATGTCGATCAAGCATCTCCCGGTCTCTAAAAATGGTCTCCCCAATATGATTGGTATCTCTTCATCTTCGGGCATCTCTAGAATAACAAAATCTACAGGGAACACGAACTTGTCGATTTTCACCAGCACGTCTTCTACCACTCCGTAAGGTCTTTTCACCGATTGGTCAGCAAACTGAAGTGTCATTCGTGTATCTTGTACTTTACCTATTCCCAATCTTTTGTAGATGGATAATGGCATAAGACTTACACTTGCTCCTAAATCAATTAGAGCTTTCTTGAAAGACCTATCACCGATGGTGCATGGAATAGTTACTGAACCTCGATCTGTCTTTTTAACCGGAATCTTCATGCCCTGCAAAATAGCACTACACGTTTCAGTTAGAATAATCGGATCACTCTCGATGATCCGCTTCTTTGAAATAATATCCTTCATGAATTTTGCATAGGTTGGCATTTGCTCAAGTGCCTCTAAGAAGGGAATGTTCAGCTCAAGTTTCTTGAACATTTCCAGGAACTTCTCGAAATTCTTCTCATGTTGTTCTTTCTTCTTATTTCTTGTGGGGAAAGGAAGCTTAACCGCCGGTTTAGGTGTAACTATTTTTTCTTTTACCACCCTTTCATCCCCCGTGGCCTCTTGACTTACAACCTCATTTTCTTTAATCTCTACATCCACCTCAATCAACATATCTTCTTCATCAGAATTCTTCTCAGGTTTGTCATTGGATTTACTGCTTCTTGTAGTCACAGCGTTCACATGATTATTGTCTCTGGGATTCGTAACCGTAGAACTAGGTAGAGCACCTTGTTGTTGAGAGTTAGTCATTTGTTGTGCAATCTGACTCATTTGGATTTCCAGATTTTTGATAGAGGCCCCTGTATTCCTCAGGTTGCTCCTGGTTTCTTCCTGGAATTGAGAATTTTGAGCGGCCATTTTTTCAATCGCTATCTCCCAGTCTACCTTCTTCGGTGTCTGTTGTTGACTTTGAGATTGGAACTGTTGTGGGTGGTGTTGAAATTGTTGTTGGTATGGAGGTTGTGGTTGTGGAGGTCTATATTGTTGTGGTTGCGCTGGAGCTTGAAACTGGTTTGGTCCTTGCTTTTGGAAGTTTCCTTGCTGATCCTTCCATGCGAAATTTGGATGATTTTTCCAACCTGGATTGTATGTATTGGCGTATGGATTGTTTTGCCTCAACATATGAATTTGTTCAACCTGTTCTTGCGTTGCCACACAATGCATAGCAAAATGCGGCCCACCACATATTTCACACAACACTGAAGTGATTCGCTCAACCTGTGCTACTTTCTTTTCACCAATATTCATCTTCTTTAACCTTCTTTCCACTTCAATCGCAATCTGTTCCTCCATTTTAACCACTTGGTCTGCCAACTTCAAATCAATTTTTCCTTCCGGTTGGCTTATTGCCCGATCATATAACTCGATGTGCTCGTTCGCGGCAATAGCTTCTATGATTCTCTTGATACCAGTGGCTGTTGAGAAATTAGTTGAGCCACCGGCTGCAGTGTCGATCAGTTGTTTTGTTTTAACTCGGAGACCATTAACAAACGTCTGCATTTGTTCGGTTGAATCCATGTTATGAGTAGGACAAGCAACCAAACACCTCTTGAATCTTTTATATGCATCTCCTAGCAGTTCCTCTTCTTTCTGCTTGAAATTAACGATATCGTATCTTTTACGAATGAAGACCGAAGCTGGGAAGTACTCATTAAGAAAAGCAGTTTCCATTTGTTCCCATGTGGTGATACTTCCAGCTGGAAGTGAGTAAAACCACTCTTCCGCATCTTCGGATAACGTGAAAGGGAACATCACAAATCTCTTTGCTTCTTCGGAGTGGCCTTCTATCTTCAATGATGTTGTTGTGGTCAGGAATCTCTGTAGATGCTTATTCGCATCTTCATTGATTCTCCCCGCAAAGGGCTTGCTTTCTAATTGTCGGATAGTGGAGGGATGTAGTTGGAAGTGTGCCACGTTAACCGGTTGATTCACTATGGTCATTCTTCCAAGCGGTGCATTCGCCCTTCCATAATCCCCCAAAAGTCTCTCTGGAGGGGGTGGATCAGCTGCCATAGTTTCGGGCTCGGATTCTGACTGTTCGGATGAAATAGATAGTATTTCTTCGTCTTCTGATTCTGAAACTACCGGTGATTCTTCTTTTGAAGCCAATCTTTTCCGCTTAACTTATCGAAGTCGTGCTCTCAATAATCTTTCTGGTTCTGCGTCAAAAAGAAGTTCAGCTGAGGCCTTACCTCGCATACAAGATTAGACGATGATTAGTTGAGAGTAAAAATAAATAAATAAAAATACGCAAAATATAATTTTAATTGCAGAGCAATAAAATTCTAGTTGACTAAATAATGACTTATATTTTGGCAATCCCCAGCAACGGCGCCAAAAACTTGATCGGAAAAATAGCAAGTGTACTATTTTCACCGATGTAGTTATAAAGGGTTTTACCCCAAGTATCGATCACGAGGATTGCGTAGGAAAATACAAGTTATTACACGAAGTCAATTAAACAAAAGAGCATAAGGGTGTTGTTTCAAATGATTAACGAAATAGATTAAAATACTAGGAATTAACTGAAATTAAAACTGAGCTTTTGATAATATGAAGATAATGCTAAGGTGGGTTGTGTGCTTCATTATCTAATTCCTCTGGATCAAGATCTCTTTAACAAGTTTATAGAATTCAATTATTTATTCTCAAGGATGCTTTTCCTAAGTCCTTAGTGAAAACCTTTTGGTTTAAAATCCGATTACCTAAGTCCTTAGAGAAATAGAAAAAAAATCAAATCATTCAATTATCAAGAATTTCTAAATAACCTTACTATATCCCTAATCCTAGGTGATAATTATAAGGTTCAATTGTATACAAACCTTAACAATCGTAGTCCTACGAACTGTTAACCACATAACAATCCTTATTGATCAGATAAAGAAAGCATTAAAAACATTATACAATCGAATTGAATACTACAAACATTAAATCAATGAAATACCTAATCCAGAGTTATTACAGATCGAATCAGGGACACCCCCCTAGCATTGGGGGTTTAGCCTCTCATAATATTCAAGAAACACACGTGTAAAAGTTTAGACATTACAAATAATTGGGAGAACTCGGATCTTCAATGGTGTCCACCGTTGAATCTCTTCGTCTTCCAAAACCTCGTTTCCGTCCTCTTTTCTTCTCTGCAATTCTATCTTATGATCTCCAAAAGTCCCTTCTCTCTTGTTCTAAAGTTGTTTTTATATCCTCCTTCCATTCAGGTTGAAATCCTATGCCAAAAATACCCTTGATTCCCTTTGAGTGAGAAAACCTGGAAACAAATATTCAGCACGCGCTCATCAACACGGGCCGTGTTGCTGCACACGGGTGCCCGTGTTGATCTTCTGTTCTGGCAAAAATAACACATTTCTAGGCACTTTCTCACACGGGCCGTGTCTGTGAACACGGGTGCCCGTGTGAACTCTCTGTTTCAGGTTCAAACTTGCTTTTCCAGCCACATTTCAACACGGGCCGTGTTGCTCCACACGGGTGCCCGTGTTGACCTCTGAACTCAGCTTTTCCCGGCTTCTTTTATCCACTCGTGCGCGCCACAAGTTCCTATCTTTCCATTGCATCACCTGGACAACAACACTACCAACCAGCGCATAAAAAGACACTTTTTGTAACACTCATAAAGTAAAAATATGCGACAACTTCACACAAACGGAAATAAGAAAACTTACTTTAAAACACATGCAAATGCCACTTAGTGTTACCAAGACTATGAGTTCTTGTCGGAAAAAGGTGCGAAACTTACTAGAAATGGTGACCGATCAGTATGATAAGTTGTTAAGTACATATTTTCATTTTTCTTTCCAAAATAATTAGCGACAATATATCTATTACTTTCTTTATATAGGGTGGAGATTTACCATTCAGTTTGATGGAACTAAAAGAGGGTGTAGTAAACGTGAATGGAAAGAACTATGAAAAGACTACACACAAACTTCTGCTGGTTAGGGGAGGTGACGAATTGATATTTGGATCAGCTATCTATGTATCCTTTTTAGGTATATTGTTTCCTTTATATATTATTATTACAAATATGTTAAATTGAATCTTTATATATTATTATTACAAATATGTTCATTGAACCTTTATGCTGTTAATACTAGTTAATTGTTAACTGAAATGAATTCTCAATACTTGTTCATTGTTATGCCATATGAATATACATACATTGAGCTACTTTATCAAACTTGTATGAACTTTGCAGTCTTAACTAACTTGTAATTCAGACTTTTTACCTACAAACTGCAAGGAGCGTAAGTGCTAGTGCTATTCTAACAGATCAAGACTTAGCTCAAAAGGAAAGAGAAATGTTAGATGGAAATTTGGAAAACAAAATTGTTGATCCAAATGATATATATATATATCATTTCAAGATTTCCCTTTCTTTTTAAGGTGATAACCATTTTTTTAATACTTAGTTAATGTTTTATTTGAATAGCTTATAATTTATTTTCTTTTAAAAGTTGTTAACTTATTATATTGTTAATAATAGTGATACTACAAAGAGTCTAATTATTGCATCGACTCGCATCCACCTTGATGCCAACTTCAAAGAAATCAGAAAATCTGCTCCTATGTTTACATCAGAGTCACAAAGGATCATACTGTCAGGCCCTGCTGGTAGTTTTTCTATCTCACTTGCTTACAATTTAATTCCTTAGAATACAATTGCATGACAATTAGTAACTAGATCTATAAAATTTGGCAAATTGCATGACAATTAGCAGCATAATATTCACCCAAAGATTGATGCTGAAAATGATTGTAAACTACTAGCCTATAAATATTCACCATAAGATTGATGCTGAAAATGATTGTAAACTACTAGCCTATGCCTACCTATTCTACTTCACTTGAATATTTATAGACTAGTTGCCCTTCATAGAAAAGCACCCCCTGCTTATGTGTAAATCATGGTTGTGAATTTGAGTTGACTCTCAGGGCTTACTTATCTTCATCAAATTCTCCTCTTTGTGAACCTCATCTTGCACGTGTTGCTTATCCATCCACATAGGTTAAGACACTAACCTGATCAGTTCTCTTTCATGTACACGAGACAACGCACGCATTTGTTCCACTGTTGAGCCTTCTAGCTTTGTACACAATTTAAAAATCAAAACCCAATGTTAGGCTGCCCAATTTTGTTTTTCCACTATTACATTTTTCTACTGCCACAATTGTCAGTTATTTAAGACTTTTTGATCCGTCGTCAACACAAAACACCTCTCTCATAAGTAGGGTTTCCAATGGTGGATGACTAGTACCACGACCATTAGTTCTCTCTGGTATGTAGACTTTGTCATATTTCTTACTCTCAAAGTCTTACTGAAATATGCCAATGATTACTTCCCTGGTGTGCACTAGTAGTTACTTGCAAGAAACATAGGTTATGCAAATTGATGCTAGGCTCTTGCAAACACACATACTATTTCATATCAATCAGAAAAGAAATACAAGGAACCATCTATATATTCAAGTAGCTTGTGTGTTAAGAAACAAACTTTTAACCACAAGCTAACTAAGTAATATAGTTCCTAGAATTATTACACAACATCCCTCCTAATTCTAAATGCCTATTAGTCCTAATTGATCTCTTAAGTATTCAAAGCTTTCAATTTTCTAGGTTTTTGTGAAGCCATATGCAAGCTGCTCCTTTATAGGACACTATGTAACTTCTATCATGCCTTTCATCACTTTCTCTCGTATAAAATGAAATCTAGCCTCAATATGCTTGCTTATTCCATATGACACTAGATTCTTAGCCAAACTTTTTGCAGATTTATTCTTAGCCAAATCATGATATTTGATGAAAAGCCACCATTTGCATTCATCTTGCTTATGTTTCATGAAACCTTTTGAGTCCCTCCTATCTCAATGTTTCCCAAGTTTCCCCCTCACCTAATTAACTCTTGATTCTCTATGAATCAACACCAACCCTTCAGTGTTGCAACTAGGCTTTAGATGCCAATTCTTAGCAAAACACAAGTAGTTACTTGCAATGCAAGTAACAGAAACATAGGTTATAGGCTCTTACAAATGTACACACTATATCATATCAATTAGAAAAGACATACAAGGACCTGTATATATGCAAGTAGCTTGTGTGTTAAGCAACAAACTTTTAACCATAAGCTAACTAACTAACCAATATAATTCTTAGAATTATTACTCGACAAGAATGGCTCCTACCCCTCCATCACTTTTTGAAAAGCAGATATATGCGTCATTTAAACTTGCCAAATTTCAATTTTTGTCATCTAGTTTTGGTAGGTGTTTAGGAAAACTTCATTTGGAACTTATCTTTTACACACTATCACTTGTGTTTCTTGCTTAAAATCAACACAATTTATGAGTACCAAATGTTAGAATAATAACCGTTTGCAAAAACACACATTTGTTAGTAGAAAAAGAGAAGAAATTTATTGCAATATTTAATTAGCATGCTTTGCAAAATAGTTAAACTTGTATTTACAAAGTTGAGCCCCCACATCGATTCCATAAAGCCCATTTCACATTGTAATTGACTAAAATCAGTATTAACTACATCTAAGCTACTAATAATAAAAATTGTGTCTTATTTTTAACCTAAGACTTAAAAGCTTTTAATTCTATATATAATATAATTCTTGTGTTGTTTCAGAAATTTATCAGGAAGCTTTGTCCAAGGCTATTGCCAAGCACTTTGATGCCAGACTACTAATTGTAGATTTACTTTCATTTTCTGCTGTATGTGTTCTCTAATATATTCTTTTTTGTTTTCTAGTGAAATTTTATTCTGTTTATTTCTATAAAAAAATTATTTATTAACTTTCCATTATTAGTTAAAGAGGTTAGTATTCCTTTATTGTTTTAACGGCTAATTTTTATTATCTGTTCTAATTATCCTACAAATGTTCTTTTTAGGGAACTGCTTTAAAGGAAGCCCCTTCTTCTAAAAGAATTTCAAAGCCTAAAATAGTAATAGGTATGTTCTGATTCCCAAAAAATAGGTAGTATTTGCTAATCATGGTAGTTCTTATCATATAATTTTTTTATTCTTTGTGATGCGATCCTTATGTAATTTTTCAGGTTGTAGAGTATCATATTGGGGTGGCAACAATCCTGGGTAATGCACTACACTCAACATTTAATTTTTAAGCATGATATTGATATAAAGCCATCTGTATATCCATTCATCTCAACTTTGTTAAAGCCATCTTTAGAAAGTATTTTAAATTAGTAGTTTATAGTATCCATAAAGTAAGTTTGAGTATGATAACAAGTGTTAGATCCAATTAATTAATAAATTAGTATAGATTAAGGAAAGATCTAGAAATAGATTGATATTATAAAAGAAATAATATTAAATGTATGTACTAGACAATTTCTCTATGCCATGCTGCCTTTATTAATTATTTAGGCCTAGCACTTGATTACTAGTTCAATGATCCTTTATCCCATGGCGTCTACTTTGATGGATTTTTTTGAACTATATTTCTTTTTGTTAGTGGAAATACATTATAATGATATGATGTAATAAGTCACTTTTAGAAAAAAAACTACCTATATTTGATTTTTGGTCAAATTTACCTTTTTCTCTTTCCAAATATTATATTATTTTTTGTTTAATGTGGGAAGAACATCTATTCCCTGTCTCCTATTTGTACAGTCCCTCTTTTCTTTCTAACTGGATCTGATTTCTCTGTCTATTATTATTTTTTCATTGATGTCTTGGAATTTAGATATTTATAATTTCTATTGAGGTTGTGAGGTGTACTAATATGTATGGACTAAAGAAATCATATAATCTGGTTACATACTAGTACAACTTTATAACTTCTTGTGCTAGACCTCTTGTGGAGAGTTAAAACTTGTTTCTATTCTTTTGTTGCATTTGGCAGGGAACCAATGGATGGCTCTAAGGGCATAATTCTCATATCTTTTCAAGATAATGAGTTTGCCAAAATTGGTGTGAAATTTGAGAAACCGTTTAAAAGAGGAATTGACCTTGGAGGTCTGTGCGAAGTCGGTTATGGTTATTTTTGTCGTGGTAATTTTCTATCTTTTAAACTTCTAGTTTGATTGCATATTGACTTAGTTTGACAGCTTATTGACTATTAGTTTGATGGTACAGCTGTAGTGTTGAGCATGATTGAAACTCCACGTGAAGGGGATGATTTTCACAAAAAAATCTTGAACAGAATATTTGAGGTGGTTGTGAATCCTAATTGATTTATTTTATAATAATAGTTACAAGTAATTATTTATATATATTCACTTTTTCTATATTGTTTTGCGTCTTTAGTTTGCTTTCGATCAAGGTGAAAAAGGTTCCCTTGTTGTCCTTGTTCAAAACATAGAGAAGGCTGTGGTGGGAGAATGTCGTGTTTTGAAAAATGCAATTGAAAGATTGCCCCCTAATATTGTGATAATGGCTTCCCACACCCAACTTTTTGAAGAGAAGGTATTATTTGGTTGATGTATTTTATTGTGATTTTAGAAAATATTTTAAAATCTAATTTTATTGTATTTTGTTATATTTTTACACCCAGCCTAGTAAAAAACAAGGGGATTCAAATTTGCTTTTAACTCAGGTAATACTGTGTTCTAATAAAATCCCATTTAAGGGTATCTTATTCATGTTAGAAATTCTATTCTCTATTACATTATAATAATGTTAGAATTTGCTTCTTCTTTTTTTTTTAATTATAAATTTAAGCTTGATAGGTATGTGGCTACTCAGTAATTAATAAGATTTGAGAGTTGTAAAATATTTGCCATAATGAGCTTAACTTGAAAATACAACATGAGACACATATACAAGGACTTGCAGCCACCAACTATAACTAACTACTTGCACTAAAATAGAAAAGGTGGTTAGAGATAGTTATAGAAAAATAACTGAATAAGATAACTTAATAGTAATGATTGCTCTATTATACTAGTACTAGTTTATATGTTAGTCTCTCATGGACCAATTCTTTGAAAAGAATGCTGAGTTGTTAGTTTAATTCTTTTATAAGTTAATTATCATTATAATAATGTTGCTTTGTTTAGGAGAAACCGAGTAGACAGCCTGAAGGAAGCAATAATTCCACTTCATTTATGAATCAAATTGGCGGTCTTTTCCCCATTAAGTTGATAATACAGCTTCCTAAGGTAAAGTATATTTTAAAATAAAACTTGTTGCTACTGTTATTTGACATCTGATCTTACTTTTTGAACATTTGCAGGATCATTTGTCACTATCTCGTTGGAAGGAGCAGTTGGAGCATCATGTTCAAAGTGCAAATGCGTTAAATGCTGTTATCATTCGCTCAGTGAGTTCTTCTCTCTTTTTAAGCTTTTTTTAATCATTTCTTATACTATTGAATAATACTTTTACTTCTTTTTTTGCTTCTCCTCTAACTATGATTATCAATGATTTTTCTTCTTGGATCGGACAACCAAGTCCAATTGTGTGGCAAATTTCATTTGAATCCATATAACAGACAATTAAAACCCACATTTAAATGATTTTGGCCGTTGAATATAGTATAAGAAAATTGTATTTTTATACTTGCTAAGGATGATTGTTAAATATATCTAATTTTTAGTTTCATGTGAAAAAATACATTTACAAACTTATATATCGCTTAATATGACTGTTAGCTGTTCATAACAATAAACATGAATAAATTAGCTGACTATTTATATTTGAGTTAAAAATGTGTTTTGTTTTGCTTATAATTGAGTTTGATTTCAGGTTATAGACGAAAATGCTATGGATTGCCTAGACTTCAAGACTCTTTGTTTTAACGATCAAGCACTAACCCGAGAGAGTATGTTTATATCTTTGAAATTTAAACAACTTGATTATCAAACTACTTATTTGAAAATTGAAATTTGTTATCTATTTTATTGATATATCGTGTTTAATTTTTTTGTGATAGACGCACACAAAATTATTAGTTGGGCTTTAAGTTACCCCGGTAATACCGTTAAAGACTCTAACATAGTTTTGTCTTAGGAAAGGTTAACCTCTATTTTCTTGCATTTCAATTACTTAATTTAAGCACTAAAATGAAATGAAATTAGAAATTGTATTTATTAACAAAATTTTATGTCACTAATGCAGCATTAGGTATGGACACAACATTTTAAGGAAATATCAAAATTCAGAAAAGAACTTAAATAATTCAGTAAAGGTAAAAAGCACGACCCTTTTCAATTACTTTTATCAGGTTGGAATTGATATATTAATGCTTTAACTCTTTTATGTATTATGTATTTCTTTAGGATGTTTTTCTTGACGGTGAGTTTGAGGAGAAGTTGATGGCGGATGTTATTTCTCCGAGTGATATTGGAATCACTTTTAACGATATTGGAGCGTTACAAAGTGTGAAAGATACACTAAGGGAATTGATCATGCTTCCTCTTCAGAGGCCGGAGTTGTTCAGCAAAGGGCAACTTGCTAAGGTAGTAATATATTTGCGAATTTAGCCATGCAATTTTGAGTTGTTTAGACTGTGTTGTATTTGTGAAATATATTTTTAGTATGTAATTATTTTGAATTTAGCCGTGCAAGGGAATATTACTTTTTGGTCCTCCTGGCACCGGGAAAACAATGCTAGCAAAGGCGGTAGCAACTGAAGCTGGGGCAAATTTTCTCAATATTTCATTGTCCACCATTACTTCCAAGGTAGTAATTATGATTAATAATCTTTTTTTTTGTTGTTCAAGTGCTTTTAGTTATTGATTCAACTCATACTTGCTTGTTGCAGTGGTTTGGTGAAGCTGAGAAATATGTTAAAGCAATATTTTCTTTAGCTCACAAAATTGCACCAACCGTTATTTTTGTTGATGAGGTTGGTAATTTCCTACCTTTTGACCCCTAACACTTAATGTTTTTTTGTTTTTTTATTGTTAGTTCTTTTTTGAAATAAAAAGTTCATTTATATGTAAATTGGATTTTTTTTAATACCTATGCAAGCATGAATTTTTTTTTTTTGGAATAAGATAACTTTATTAAATTCCAAAACAATAATACAACCTATCCCACAGGGATCCAGGAATCACAAAAATCCAGTATCCTAAGCTATGTAAGAGTAGCTACATTAACATGGTTCTTAAGTTTTCTATGCATAGCACACCTCATCACAATATTATACTTTTTGATATCAACAATGTTATCCTCTAGTCTCTGTTGAGAGAATATAACCCTATTCCTGCTGTTCCATAAGCTATGTAAGGTCTCTGCAGTAGCAACTTTAAGGATTATTCTTCTCCAACCTTTCTTCTTTGTTTCATGTGTCAGCCACCTCTTCTCACTTGTCCAACCACCTGGGTTCCTACTATACCCTGCCCAATCAAGTATGTTCTTCCAAACTTGTTTGGTTTTCTCACACTCTAAAAACAGATGCTCCAAACTCTCTGCCTGCTGACAGAGTGCAATTACCATCTGCTATAATACCAAACTTGTGCAGCCTGTCCTTTGTAGGTAATTTCCCATGTAGTGCCATCCACAAAGTAAACCGAGCTCTAGGTCTAGCATAATTGGGATTAAGCATTTTGTGCCACTCTATGTTGACAGGCTCGCCTCGGATTTCCTTATACATGGAGGCTGTATGATATTTATCCTTCTGCATAGCTTCTGTCCAGTACTCAGTGTTCGACAATGGTTCTGGTTTTCAGAATCCCCTTAACAATCCAAGAGCAACTGTTTGGGATCTAACATCTCATTAGGTCCTCACCTTTTTTGTAGTATTCATGAAGCCATTTGACCCATAGTTTATCAGTTTTTGCCTGCAAATTCCATAGCATTTTGCTCATGCAAGCTATTTCCCAGTCAGTTAGAGAAGTGATATTTAAGCCACCTGATTTCTTTGGACAGCAAACAGTTTTCCAGGCCACAGGGGCTTTCCTTCTAGACTCATCAGTCCCGTTCCACAGGAAGTTCCTGCATATAGATTCAGTTTTCCTGATAAGTTTCTTTGGCATAGGGAATACATGCATCCAATAGGCAGTGATGGAGAAAAGTAGACTTTTTATCAGTTGGAACCTTCCTGCATAGCTCAACAGTTTTGCAGTCCAATGTTTAATTCTACCAACAATACGATCAATAAGAGGTTCACATTGAAGAACAGTTAACTTTCTGCTAGCAAGAGGGACTCCTAGATACTTGAATGGCAGCTGACCTGTGGCAAATTTATTGGCCTCTTTAATCTTCTTTTGAGATTACCTTTGGAAAGACGACGAAGTTCAGATCGTAGCTGACGAGTCTTCGTCGTGAGCTGCACGGCGAAGTAGCGGTGAACTTCCGTCCAAACCTGCCACGCGTGAGTACAATCCACAAGTTTGGGAAGAAGCGAGTCAGAAATCGTGGAGAGAAGCCACGTGCAGACAAGAGCATCCTGTTGCTCCCAATCAAGATACGCATCAGTGACTTCGCTAAGATTCGGATCAGAAGTCACCGGCGAACGCTGCGGAATCACCGGAACAGTGACAAAGCGTTGAAGCTTGTGGCCACGCACAACTCCATCGATTTGCTGCTTCCACTGTTTGAAATTTTTATCATCAAGCTTAACAGAGAGCTTGACGTGAGCGGAAGGAAAGGCGCCGTCGCTGCGAAACGGTGACGCCATGAATGAAGATTACTGGATCAGGAAAGAAGAAGCTTTGATACCATGATACAGTACCATAAGAGAGAGAAAAGAAGAAAGATGAAAATCTCATATATTGATCTTAGATAGAAAGAGTACAAAGGCATGGTATATAAAGTAGCCTTAGATCTAACTAACTGTACAACTGGCATATAGCTGTAACAGATCAATGACACGTTGCATAACAACTACTCTCTATTACCGGCGGATAATAATAAAATCAGAGTTCAACATAAATAGGATGCTACATTTATAACTTAAAATCAAACTTCATTTAATCGCATACAAAACAGATACATAACACTTAATTCGGATGAACCGATAACAGTCTGATTTATTTTTTAAAATCAAACAACTTTTTATTGATAAGCAGCGAAATTTACATACTCAACTTCAATTCACTTAACATCTTTTATTCAACTAAAACAACATCAAAACAACAATTATTTCACGTAACCAACTTAAAAATTCAGCAACTGAAATAAATATCAACAACCTCCCGAGTGCTACGTATCAGAGCGAAGACACCGACTCGAACTAACGAGGTAACAACTATCCTTCTTGATTACCTGCACGTTACCAACAGAGGGCAACATTCAAACATAAGGGGTGAGATATCGAACTATATAATTGAGCGTATGATAAACAATATGTTAGGTCAGATCACATAAAATCACCACTTCACAACTTACAAACAATTTTAATCACAACAAAACATCGACACGACATAACGACTAATTCACAACTTTTAGATAATACCTGTCACAACAAGTCAACAACATAAAGCAACAACAAATATATCATCACCACAACTCAATATGCAACATCAAATGTGACTCAATTACAATGCACATGCATGTGGTACCATTGGAGTAGAACTTCCAACTTAATAATCTGCCAATTAATAGAGGCATCAACAAGGCATAAGCCTTCTTCATAGTTTGCCAATCCAGGCCATCACAGAGTATGCAAATGTATATGACTCAATGAATGCACTATCACATATTCACAACAATGAATGCACTATCCTGTTATACCTTCTAAGCAACTCACGAGCTATCACTATGTTGTCATGTATAACTCCCCCTGATACAAAAGCTGAATGGCTCTCATCAATAACCTGGTTGATCACCTTACTCAATCTTGTAGTAAGGATTTTGGAGATTATTTTGTATAAGGTGCTACAGCAGGCAATAGGTCTCATATCTTCATGGTTTTTGCATCATTTTTCTTTGGGATAAGAGTTACTAACTCACAGTTTGCAGTAGGGTACATTCTGTTCTGAGTAAAGAAGTCGTGTATAGCATCTGTAACATCCACTCCTATCACTTTCCAGGTTGACTTGAAGACTTTAGCTGTGTATCCATCAGTACCAGGAGCTTTATTGTCTCCAATACTGTTCAAAGCAGTCAAAATTTCTTGGTCAGTCACAGGTTTGGTGAGGCTGTTCCTATCATCATCTTTCAGTTGATTACCTGCTCTGACAGCCACAATATCAATGTGTTTCCTCCTCTGCGTATTAGTCCCTACCAGATCTTTATAGAATCTCAGAACTTCCCCTTCAATATCTTTGTGGCTAGTAAGTTGCTTTCCATTAGGGTCCTCTAAAACAAGAATGCTAGTCTGCTTATTTCCCCCCCTGATTATGGCATGGAAGTATGCAGTATTATCATCACCTTTTAGCAACCAGTCCAGTTTAGATCCTTGAACCAACATTTTCTCTTCAGTTTCTATAGCCTGCATCAACTCCTCAGTCCAGTATTAACCTCATTAATATATTATGTACTCGTCAGATTAGTCCCAAGGAGATTCTGGGCTCTTTCCAGCTGAGTTATACAGTTCTGAATATTGAGCACCCTATTGTTTGCATGTTTGGTCATGTCCCTTAGAGCAGGTTTCAATCTCTTTAGTTTACTCCAAACTTTAAACATAGGTCTGCCACTAAGATCAGCTTGCCAATTGTTCTTCACAATTTCCATAAATCCAGGATTATTCACCACACAATTCCGAAACTTGAATCTATGAGGTTTCCTATAAATCTCATTTCTATCTCCTATCATGCTAATCTTGAGAGGGTTATGGTCAGAGATATGGGCATGGAGGATATGAGCTTCACTATTAGGGAACTCTAGAAATCACTCTTTGTTACATATTGCTCTATCAATCCTAGTATAAATCACCACCATTGAGATGTTTGTTAGACCAGGTATAGTAATTACCTTTTGTTTCATGTTCAAACAGTCCAGTAACTTCCATCATGTCACGCAGATCCTTGACTTCAACCTCTTGAATAGGGTTGCCCTAGTTCTGTCCTTATTTTTCAGAACATTATCGAAGTCTCCCACTACCATCCAGGGCCCTTTCACATTGGCAGATATTCGAAGAATATCATTCCAGAGAGTCTTCCTACGCACAAGCTGATTCTGAGCATATAACACAGTCAAGTAATGTGATATGTCCCCATTCATGTTGTAGATATCACAATGTAAATATTGGTCAGAGTTTTCTATTTGCTTAACTTGCATTTTTCTGTGATCCCACATAAACCATATTCTACCATTTGGATGCTTGTCATAGTTGTCAAGCCAATTCCAATTTGTTCCCATCTTTTTCCTAATAGCCTCTGCATTCTTCTTCTTCACCCTGGTTTCAATGAGGGCAGCACAGGTCACATTGAGTTTATTGATATGAGCCCCTATTTCAATATGCCTTGCCCTCTTATTAATTCCTCTAACATTCCAACTTAACATCCTGGTATAGTGGGATTAGAGGTAGATGAGCTATTTCCAGACCCAAGGACCTCAAAACCATTGCTACACCCAAACAGATCTGTATCTATTCCTGTTGTAAACTTTTCTATGATAGTCTCTTTTCCTTTGAGCCTATTTGTTGATTTTACCTCAGTCCAGTCTTCCTTTGGTTCCTGCACAATTTTTATTTTCTGTGGTATTTCCTCTGTTTGGAAAAAACTATTATAAATAGGGTAAAAAACTATTAATTCTTACTTTAATTGTTGTGTTATTTATGATAGGTGGACAGTTTGTTAGGAAAACGTGGAGTCGATAGTTCCAGTGAAGCTCATTACAACAAAATGAAGTCAGAGTTTTTTGTTCATTGGGACGGTCTCCGCACAAAGGAAAAAAACCGCGTACTTGTTCTTGCTGCTACTAACAGACCGTTTGATCTTGACGATGCTGTTATTAGGAGACTCCCAAGAAGGTGGTGTTTTATTTTATAAAATTTTATGTAATGTTTACCTTAATGTGATTAATGATTTCTAAACTATATATTATTGCTAATATGTTAACTTTGACTCTAGTTTACCTTTGACGTATAATAAAAAATTCAATCTGACAACATCAAATATATTTTTTCTTCATATTTTTGATAGATTTGTAATCTAATTCATGGACTTTCTTCTACATTATAAGCAGATTGTTGATTAATTTACCCGATGCTCCAAATCGAGACAAGATTCTTAAGATCATACTGGCCGCCGAGAATTTGTCACCAGACATTGATCTAAAGGAAATGGCCGATAAGACGAGTGGTTATTCTGGAAGTGATCTCAAGGTATTTATTTATTTAGCTACTAAGATTGTTTTGTTTGCTTATGTGGAAACTAATCTGATATAATAAATTCATTGTAGAATTTATGTATTGCAGCCGCCAATTGTCCCATTAGAGAGATATTAGAGAAAGAAAAAAGGGTTAGTCTAATATTATTTAGATATTATGCAAATTTATATTACATCTCAAAATTATACATTTTTTAAAATTATACCTCTTTTTTAGGAGGGAGGTTTAGCTGAGTCTAATAGGAATGTAGATATCCGGCCTTTAAAGATGGAGGATCTGGTACACGCCCTAAAGGAGGTATATCAATTAATCTTTTTCTAGTATGAATTGAAGTTGATGAGTTTAATTTTTAATTATTTAATTGGTTGACTAAAAAATTTAGTTAATTAAATTTTTTATTTTTTTATATGAAGGTCCGCGCTAGTGTCAGACTTGACTCATCTATGATAGATGAACTGTTAGAATGGAATGAACAGTTTGGAGAGGGTGCAGATGCGTCTAAAAAAGACAGAAACTTAAGTTATTTCTTATAAATTTCTTAGGCTGTTTGATACTATGAAGATGAACTGTTTAGAAACAAGTCTGTTATTTCAAATTACTCCTATAAATAGCTTTCCCTTCACATTTTACTGCTACAACCAATCTCTATATTTAGTAAGAACCTAAAGCTCTCTTTTTTTTCTCCTTCAAGTTGATTAAGTTTTGATTTTAGACGCATCTCCACCATCTCCAAACTGTTCATTCCATTCTAACAGTTCATCTATCATAGATGAGTCAAGCCTGACACTACCGCGGACCTTCATATAAAAAAATAAAAAATTTAATTAATTAAATTTTTTAGTCAACCAATTAAATAATTAAAAATTTAACTCATCAACTTCAATTCATTTAGAGCGTGTACGGGATCCTCCATCTTTAAAGGCCGGATATCTACATTCCTATTAGACTCAGCTAAACCTCCCTCCTAAAAAAGAGGTATAATTTTAAAAAATGTATAATTTTGAGATGTAATATAAATTTGCATAATATCTAAATAATATTAGACTAATCCTTTTTTTCTTTCTCTAATATCTCTCTAATGGGCAACTGCAATAGATAAATTCATATCAGATTAGTTACCACATAAGCAAACAATCTTAGTAGCTAAATAAATAAATGATTCACTCATTTGAAGGCAGTATTGGTTAGATTTTACAGTTTTACGTGTAAAGTGTATTATTCTCTTTAGAATATAACATTATAAATAATAGAAAGGAAAAATTAAATGTTTCGCAAACCAAATTCTGAACCGAGATTGAATGAACCAAAACAGAAACGTAACTAGAATCACGCTTACCGAAACAGTTAGAGAGATGAGCGGGTATTTTTTGTTGTTATCACAAGATGAAAGATGAGCGAGTGTAGTTGTTGTCTCGTAAGGAGATGAACAAAAAATCGCTTTTAAGAATAAGCGCTTCCATGAAATTTGAAGAAGAAAAAAGCGCTTATTCTCCGATTTTTAAGTTACTGCCGTGCTGCTTTATATGTTACTCATCTTCTTCTCACCGCTACCTCACTGTCTCTCTTTCTACTTTCTAAATACTTCTCTTCTTTTTTTTTTTCCTTTTTTTTTTAATTATTATTTAGGTGCACTCATTTCATGGTCTTACATGCTCTATTATTTTTTGTTTGAACACTAATTGCATTTACTTCTTGGGTTTAGATGATATTGCTATATCACACCCTCTCCGTATGCTTTTATTATTATTATTATTATTATTATTATTATTATTATTATTATTATTATTATTATTAATTTAGGGCCTTAAATCCATTTAGTTTGTATTATTACTTGCCCACTATTGTATTGATAGTAAGTCCACCTCCCGTTTATTATTTCTTTTATTTCTTTCTTGTTTTAGTTTGGAAGTCTATTTTATTGTATTTCCTTTAGTTGATGTTTCATTGATAATTGTTAATAAAATAAATTGACTATTAAAATTAATCTTTTAAGATAAATTTAAATATTTTATCAACATCAAGTAATTTTTTCAAATTTAAATATTTTATCAACATCAAGTAATTTTTTCAAACTAATTCACAATCAAATCAATCTCGACGTAAATTCAAACACTTCATCAATATCATATCATTTTTCATGCTTAATAAAAAATGTTTCAAAATCTTTTCCGTAACAAAAATCGGTCGAAAAAAGAATGGTTATGACATATTTATCTTCTCCATTTCTCGAGTACTTGGATCGCTATTCGTACTTAGTTTGTGGTCTGATGCTTGTCTCCCGTTTAAAACACTTTAAATAAACGCTTGATTTTTTCGAATCGATTAGATTAATCGATTAAATTAGACAAAATTTTCCTTCTAGTAATTTCTAGAGATCCTAAGTAATTTGACACAACTTCCAAGACATTTTTAAATGTTTTTCTTTTTGGAAATTTTTTTTTAGTGAGTGTGGGTTGCCTTAGTACTTTTAAGATACTACTTTATTTTTACGGTACTTAATTCACTCAGACAGGCCAACCGACAAGACCTGGAGAGCTTTCACATCTTTCTTCAAAGAGACTTCAAGACTTCTTGCTAGATAGTATATGATTGTATAGATACTTTTATCTTAAGTCCTATTATGTAAGCACATATATATCTTCATGTGTTGTCGTCATTAAAACTTCAGATGCTGATCTTTATTAAAGGTCTATTATCTGCAAAATAAGGTTCCACAATTTATATCTAAGTAAAGAGGTAAGACACAAGCGTTCTCGCCATTTCTTCGACTCAAGAAGGAGGAAAGTTTCAGATGGGAGATTGAACACCAAAAGGTGTTCGATGAGATCAAAGCATATTTGACGAAGCCTCATATTTTGTTACCCCTATTAGTAATAAGACCATAAAGTTATATATATCAGCATTTGATTCGACTATAGGCATACAAACCAAAGATTTTTAAGTATTGGGATTTCATCATCCTCCCTCTAGAGTTATTTTACTTAATTAACAAGAGTTGAATACCAAAAAGCAAAAGAAAAATAATTAAGAGTGAAAATGAATGGATTAATTCAAGACAAACATATGCAATGCATTGTGATTATTATTCAAAAAACAAACAAGTTTTGCATACAAGAATGTGTTGAACAAAACAAGAAAGATTATAAATGAGAATGCATATGATCTAAAGATTTCCAAATGTTGAGGAGACTCTCTTCGTCTGGACTTATTGCTTCAAAAGATGCACTTTGCAGTCTTGACATTCACTGATTCAAAGGAGAATTTAAATTTTGGTTGTCTGGTGGGAAAACAATGGTCTTTGAATCAAGCTGATCTTGTACCTTGTCTCTGAATGGCTTACAGTCTTCGATTGAATGTCCAGGTTCCCTAGCATGGTAGTCACAATAGACGTTGGGATCAAATCCCACAGGATAAGGAGGAATAACTGGATTCAACTGTTTGGTTTCCACCAAAGAAAGCTTGAGCAACTGAGGGAACAACTGACCATAAGGCATAAAAATAGTATCAAACACTCTTTTTAGCTTCTTGTACCTCTGTCTAACCTGTTGATGACGATTTTGTTGATAATTTTGCTGCTAAGGAGCATACTGAACAGGCTGAGCAACAAGCCTTGGTTGAAAAAATTGAACCAGTGGAAGGAATCTGATAGTAAGGAGTAGTTTTTGACATCTGATAGTAAGGGATCTGAGTTGGAAGATGAGATTCTTCTTCATCCTCAGAAACTGCAATTGTTTCTTCGGCATCTTGCTCTAGGAACTCAAAAATAATATCGACATCCTAAATCTTACCAATCTTGAGGCCGTGCTCAATTTGTTCACATGCGATAACCAAGTCTGAAAATTCAGAAGCAGTACATCCAACCATCAGGTTCATATAGGGATCTTGCAGAGTATCCATGAACATGTCCACAAGCTCTTGTTCCAAAAGGGGAGGTTGAACTCTAGAAGCTAATTCTCCCCATCTCTGTGCATACTCTTTGAAAGACTCGTCAGCCTTCTGAGTCAGACCCTGAAGTTTGATTCTGGTAAGAGCCATGTTACTGTTATTCTTATAATGCTTGAAAAAGGCTTCTGCTAAATCTTTTCAAGTTTGGATGTTGGTCCTTTCAAGCTGAGTATACTATTCAAGAGACGAACCACTAAGGTTATCCTGAAAGAAGTGCATTAGAAGCTTGTCATTTTCTATATAAGAAGCCATCTTGTTGCAAAATTCCTTGAGGTGAGTGTTTCCAGTGATTTCTGGTAAACAACCGCTAGTCTTCCAAACTATCGAATAATCTTTATTAACGCTACTCAATCTCTTTGGTAACTCACAGGATCGACTAGATTGATCCTAGGACTCCTTGGATATTAAGGTTACTCTCACAATCGAACAATTATTCATGGGTGCTATTGTATAAATGTTTAGTTTATTTCGATCCCTCTCTCTAAGAGTTTAAGAATGTGGTCAAAATGTATGTGAAAACTAAGTTATACGAATGATTGCTAATTGTAAGGCTGATTGAAAAGACATATAAAACTGTATGGAAAATGAAGTAACTGGTTTCGATCCATAAAACATTTAACACAAAAGGTTTCTGGAATGTGGAAGTTTAAAATGTGAAGAAAGCGTTTAATGCAAGAAATCTAGAAATGAGTTTAAGTAAAAGTACATGTTTGAAGAATAATACTTGAAAGTAAAGACATTGAAAGCGTAAAAGTTCTCTGAAATATAGAGTGCTTCGAAATATAAAGAATGCAGTAAAATGTAAAACTTTGAAGAAAAGACTTTGAAATGAAAAGACAGTAGATAAAGAAACTTGTAAATGTTATTCGACAGAAAGAAAAAGAAGGAAAGTGCTGGAAATAGTAAAAAGGCTTTTATTAAATTAGAAATACATGGTGCTATCATACATACATCTCTCTTGCATTCGTTTCCCTTGCCATGTGGTAGTTTGAATGTTATTGAGTATTTTGTATAACAGATATGACACACTGAAATCCTAACACTAAGACTTCTATTTATACTAATTCGACCCTAACGGTCTCGCTACAAGATCATGCCACGTTTCGAACATGCAAGACAATGCTCCTTTCATCTTTCCACGTGTCCCCAAATGCTCCAACACATAACTTTCAAACTTTGAAAGTCCCGCCTTCATTTAAAATTCAAAATGCTTTGGTGTTTCTCTGCTTCGAACGCTCTTCTCAGATTTAGCTTCGCTGCTGTTTCGAGACCCCTTTGGATACGCTCCCAAGATCACCGTTCGAAGCTGCAAGCTTTGACACACTCATTCGAAACACTGCTTCTGCAATTTCGAAGCGTGGTGTTTTAATTCCATTTCGATCAGAACTTCTAGCTCTTTTTGAATTCTAAATAACACTATCAAAAATCTTCAGCCAACAAATTGCCCCTTTAAAATATGTATTTCGATCTCTCTGAGAAATACCTATTTTAAATATTTATACAAGATTTTGATAGGATCTTCGAATCATCATAGCATTTAATGCGTTTGACCCTAGTCACATCAATCATAGCACCCTTTGGGTACCTT